GTAAACATTATCTAACTATGGTGGTACAATGGCATAAAACTAGTGGTCCCTTAGTACCAATCAATGGGTCAGTTCTTTTATTTCTCGCTCTATGCCGCTATCAAGTGAATGATACTCGAGGGAATATGCCGCTTGTCGGTTCAAAAGCAACTAACTGCGTTCCTTGGCGAAGCATCAACGACAAATTTTTTTCGAACTGTTTTTGCTTCTCCTTGTGCACTATAGGCTCACGAAAGGCATGTCTATTTCGACCCTGTTCGGTTGGCTGTAGGTAATAATGCCGTTTTTTTTTCTCACTCGAAGTTTTGCGTTGAAGATAGAGAGTTCAAACATTGAGTTTCACACTGTTTTGCAGGGAATTTCTTGCCTCATAAGAAAGTCCTTTTAGTTCTTTGAATATTTGTTTCCACTAATATTTAAGTGCTCAAACTGGATTGCTGGGTCGACCAAATTGAGCATTTTTGACGGCCTCTTTTTTACATTCAACTGAAAAAACTGAAACCGCATTGGCTCAGTTGATAAGCGAATGCAGAAGCGGCTATGTCTCTAAGGAATGCTTACAATGGTTTAAGCGATTGAAAGATTCAATTTCGACCCCAGAGACAAGCCGCCATATCCGGCTCTCGATGAACCTCGGTATAACCGTTGACCTGGAGGCATTTTGGATTCGGGTCACGAATCCAAAAATGAACCGCAGGGGAGAATGCGTGTCAATTACGCGCGAGCTAACCCCTATATAAGGTTAGCTTCCTACCGGAACCTGGACACGATCACGGGGGACAAGCCACCGTATCATCGAACACCGGCTGATCTCGTGATCTTAAGGTACGGTACTTGGTTTTCCTATTAATTATGTGATGGGCTAGGGGTCTCGAAGGTCTCGTAGGGTAGTATGACATTTGGTCGTTAAATCATAAATTGATTTCCACTTCCAGGCTCCGAAGAAGGCAATCGTGCCGAAACGTTAGCCGTTCACTGTGTATACCAACCTCGTGTGAAGTTTGAAGCAAATAAATATTCAGAGGCAAGCATCGGACCTAATTGCCTATTGAGCCCAATTGTGAGCTTGCTGGAACACGTTCACAGAGATTCATGCCAAAGAATAGCGAAATGATAGATGTCGTGGAAGGCTTCCATGTTCTCTTTGAGCAAGGCAACCGTACTATCTTATAGAGCAAAAAACTATCCATAGTTAATCTAAATGGTGCTGAACATTGGAAACGACTCTCGGTTTTCACATAAACGTTTGTGTAAGAAAGAAACGGGCCGACCCCATATTAATACTCTCGTCTCTATCGTTCTGGACTCTTAAAGGCAGTTGGCACGGTAAATGCTCAAAAAGGCAGGGCTGTTACCGCCTGGAAGGACGGAATTCCGCGACCCTGAGCAGGTGCTGCGTAGCCCCTTCAAGGGAGGTAGCCTTATAAGGGCCCTATCAAGTTACAACATACCGACCCGAACGCCCACCACGCCCGCCCGCCCACAAATGGACGACCGTACCTGATGCTCCTGATGCTTGTGTTGCTGTTGCTGCATGATATAGAGTACATACATGCATGCAACCGCACCCATCCGCGGTTATTGGCAAGATGCCTACGGAAAACTCGTCCAATTGCTTTTCGAGTCATTAAGAACGAAGGCTTTCTTCGCAGGTTTTTGACCGTTTCACTTCGTTTTTTCGCCATTTTCCACTATATAGCGCCCTGCTAGCATTTCAGGCCAAGTACCAAACTATCGTGCCAACTGCCTTTTAAGGGCATGAGGTACGATAATTTGTCACTCGGCCTAAAATGGTAGCAGGGGTGCAATGTAGTGGAGCAATGGCGAAAAAGCGAAATGAAACGGCTCAGAAACCTGCAAAAAAAGCCTTGCTTCCACACTACTCAGAAGCAATTTCGGACGAGTTCCAGTTCCCTGTTAACATATGCCAATAACCGCTACGGTAGATATGGCTGCATATGTGTACTCATTTATCCATGCAGCCCCACAGCCGCTCCATATCAATCCGTCCGCCTCATACTGTACTTCGCAAATGAATCAAAATGACCATCAGGTATGGTCCATTTTTGGGTGGGCGGCCGCGACGGTATGTTCCAGCTTGATGGGGCGCCACAGGGGTACCTTCCTTTGAAAAAGGCGCCACACATCGCCTGCTCAGGGGCGCCGAATTCTGTCCTCCTAGGCGTACTAATCCTACACGTCTTCTCGTTTTATTGCGTCACTTGCTTTTAAGTTCTATGAGATACTGGACGCTAGAATAAAGCTACAATAAATAAATTGAGTGTATTACATTTGCATAAGTTACACGTGCGCTACTTGACAACGTCACTAACTGAATAAATTGAAACACGAGCAAAAAGTCATATGATCGCTTGAAAAACGTCTTGCTCGGTAGACAATCAGCCTTAAAGAATTATGATTCATAGCATTATACGTGGCCAGACGTAACTTGAATTACACTTACATAAAAAAGGTACATGTCACGTTCATGTGGTGGGCAGATGCCGTCCTTAGAGAAACTAGTCCCTTTCCCGAGCGCAGAGGATTTATCACTTTCGCGGTCCAAAAATATGTGATAACGACACCCGCTTATGACATGTTGCGAGCCGCGCCACCGAGCTAATTAGGTTGGCTGGGAAGGGTGTCGGGCCATATTCTTTTTAAATCAGGCTTTCTTTCTCTAGAAAGAGCTACAAGGCCAAAAAATTATACAGTAATGTCACTTCGGGGTACTTGCCAGTTTTTGAGCACCTCATGGATGCCATCGTTTCACAATGCAGGCCGGCGCGACACAAAGTTGAACATCATTTCAGCATTGACTTGGGCTCGGGTTGCGGAGGTTTTCTCTTCCATATAACGGTTGAGTACGGGAGACGACTCGCACTTAGAAGGAGCTGGGCTACACTGGTGCAAGAGGAGAGCTATCCAACTCTACCGCATAAGTAGGCGCTCGGAACTCTTTTTGACGCGACGTGCGCTTGACTACCATGATGAGGGCGGGCTGTGCAGACAAATTTTTCCCTCTGATCGACGGTACTGTTTAGATCTCGAAGCTGCTTGCGTACGCTTTGACCTAGGGAGTAGCTTCTTCATCCAGCAGTTTCACGACCCACAGCTCCCTCAATTTGAGTCGCAGGTAACCCTAAGTTCACTTCTTCATCAAAACTGCAGACTCCCACTTTGAAGCATTAGCGTTGTGGAAGGTTGTCCGATAATTGAAAGCATCGTCCTTATTCAGCTCCATTATTTTGGCATCTGCAGCTATCATGCTAGTGTCAGGGTGGTGGAAGAAAGAGTTCGAGGAAGCGCTTGGAGGGGTCGGTGCCGATGGTAGCGGATGACATTCTTGCCCATATTGCAGAAGAAGAAGAAGAAGAAGCAGGAGCACGCGAGTGGCACTAGTAGAAAGACCTTTTCTCGATGTATAAGTGCCCACATTACCAGTTACCCCTCCTCAGGTATTGGGCAAGTATTTTGAGTTCAAAAAAGCAGTTGGACAGCAACTTTTCCGCCAACATAATATTTACTACCTTCTCATTAGTGTACGAGCACTACTACTCACCATTTCCGATCGCGAGGCGTCCCTTTAGAGGCCAATAAAGGCTGCACATTCGTGATCGAAAGTGGGTGAGTGGTAGTACTCAGTTACTAGCTATTGGTTGGGATGTTGCTCTCCCAGTCGAATGATGATAGAAGATCTCCCAGGGAATGGAGGAAGGTGCATTGTTTTCAGTACGAAATCAGCTTGGATCAGTTGCGGCGAGCACATCGGCTACAATATCTCTGTCCAAGCTCGTTCCATCGCATCCTTTCTTGCCTTCTTTGTGTAAAATGGTCTCCTAATAGGCTCGCAAGTTGAGGCGCCGACTAGCGCCATTTTGTACCACCACGATTTCTCATCAAAAACGATTTGAAAACCTTCAACCAGGGTTATTTGGCCATCCTGTTGATCCTTGCGCCGCAAGAAGCAATATATGCACCTCTGATCAATCTGCGCTTGCTAAGGCTGAGGCCTGGTGGAGGTTAATCGTCCGTCTTCGCAGGCTCAGCCCAAGCAGAGCGGCTATGGCGTATATGTCAAAAAATGAATACAGATTCTGCCAGGTCTGCGAAAAATTGAGCTTTTGGGGCGTAAAAGTGGAATAGTGTGGTATTCTCTGGTAAGTCGAAGGCGAGCTGCAGCATTGCCACCCCGAATGAGTCTGGTCTTGCTTCGAATGACACCGCTCACATGCCACTTTTTCCGCCTACTTGATTAGAATGTTCTGATTTATACTGGGTTCTGGTGATGAATCCGGGATCAGTTTGTCGACGGGGGGAAGGGGCATTTTGCACTTTTGCTACTTCCCATCGACGTGTCGGCCTATCTAGACAGCCTCTTCTCGAGTTGACAGGTTTTAACATGATTGCTTGACTACCTTGTTCCAGCTTCACAAGAGTTCGCAGGTTTCGCCAGAGAGGAAAAATGTAAACCGGAACTGAGGAGCAACGGTAGTACAAAATGCCCCCTTGTCGACAAAGAGCGCTGATTGGAAGCGGTCGGTCTCCTAACTGCTTGATCACCCCACTGGAGTCGCTCACTCATTTTGTTACCTCCAGTCTAAGACCGTGAACGAATCCTATCCTATCTCTGTTGCTGGCCCTGTGGTTTTAGTAGGCTAAGTTGTATTCGTGTGGACCTCGATTCCCGTAAATTCCATCGCGCATCTCAGCACCAGAGAATGCTTTGTTCTTCGATCATGTCTACTTGTTTCCTCGCGTCATCAAATTAGTGGAACTCGAGTGGCGTGGGATTCTTGAATACGCTATTCCTGCTTCGCGTGTCCACTGGATTTTAGTCTCCCCTAATAAACATAGCCCTTCTGCGGTTGCAAACCTTACCACTTATTGACAGAATCATTCTCTTCGTCAGTCCATGCCGTCTCATTCAAGTTAAGGCTTCTGATTATCGAACGCTTCTCAGATGTTTGAACGATGAGCAGGTGCGCTGGAGAAGGAATATGTTCATACAGCTTATTCTCGACTGGCCACCTATCAGAATAAGGACCACCGACCGTCGTCGCCTCGAATTTGGCCAAACGTACGAAAGTTTCTCGAATCACAAGCGCTACAGCACTGTTGTCGACGTAGGTGAGTGCAACCTTTTATATTGCTTTTCTTTTCTGAACTTTCTACGTTCTTCAACCTCATTTCTTGACCTAAAGACAATTGCCGCGATCAAGTGTTGCGGGGATTAGGGTTAGTCCTGGAATTCAGTACCTATAAGTGACCCCCAGCTACCAGAACAGAGAGAACGAAGAGAAGCAGCCACTTTCCGCAGTCCCGCTGTAAGCCGTTGTCCTGCAGAGGGGAAGTAATCGTGGTTCCAGTGGTCGCAATAATCATGCTTCTCTAGCCTCTTTACCTCGCCGTTTCGAGAAACGAAGTTGATATATTCCGGGCGAATGCGGACAACGATGCCAAATGCTCGGAGGCATTTCAGACCACTTGATCACGGAAACTGTCTTTGAACCTTCTCGCATAGCATAACTTCAGCATGCAGCGAGTAGAACCCTTTAACATCACTGGCAGAAATTTCTCTTTCAGATGGCTCAGGAAAAAAATACGTTTAGTTCAGGATGCGGAGAGGCAAAATACACTTGTCCTTCTGTACTGGTACTTGGAGTGGACACTTGTGCAGACGCCCTCATTGGAAGGACACAGAAATCTCATGATCCTCTTGATCTCCTATTAGCCGACGCTCTGACGCTCCCATTCCGGTAAACTACGTGCCATGGATATGTATTTGTTCATTCACTTGTTTATTTTTTTACTTGCTTAGTTGTTTACTATTAGGTTGTCCGAAGTTCGGCAGGTTTTGCGGGTGTTTCACTTTAAACGATCGTAACTTTTTTAATACTCATCGGATTTAATCGAAATAGGCACCATTCGAATCAGCACACTTTTGCCAATGTGACAGCAGTCGAGAAATCCCATCAAAAAAACTGGGTGGTCGAAAATTCACGAAATCCACTAAGGCTTTTTTGCCTGGTCCTGATTGATGAAGTATTTTCCAGCAAGGGAGTTCTGAAAATGTTAGAAAAGGTGATAGTCGGATTGGCGAAAGGTCTGAAGAATATGGCGGTTGTAGTCTTGAACTTCAACCCAATTCGGTTCAATTTATGCCGATTAATAGTGATTTGTGAAACGTGTGCGGGCGTTGTCATGCAAAGGAATCGGACCCTTTCTTTTGATAAGTGTTGGCTGCATCTGACAAAATTTCTCGGTAAAATTCGTCGATTTTTTCACGATAGGGTTCAGCTGTGATGGTTTGGCCTGATGATAAAGAGGTATTATGGGGATCACACCAGTTGTCGATGCACGCACCAAGCCTGCTGACCTAATCTTTTTTTCGTGAGTCTTTGAAAATTACCTCGGTGGTTCGTCGAAATCCAACCACTGTCCGGAACGTCTCCTGTTATCATACATGACCCATTTTTCATCACAGGTGACAATTCGGCCCAAAAACAGGTCGTTTCTGCTGCGCAAAAGCAATGCAGAAGGAACCTCGAGACGTACCGATTCCTGCCGGTAACTCCGATTGTGGGGCACCCAATTGTCGGGTTTATTCACCTTCCCAATGCATTCCAGACCATCTGCAACAGTCTGCAACAGTGGATTTGCCAAGGCCTAGCTCTTCTGCTATCTCTCGAACTGTTTGGGATGGGTCAGCCTCCAAAATCCCCCTAAAATCCTCGTCAGATATTGCTTTAGGTCGACCGCTATGAGGTTCACCTTCAAGGCTGAAATCTCCAGAAACAATTTGTTGAGCCATTGCCGCACAGTGCTTTCTCTAGCACTATTGGGCTCCACACCTGGTTAATTTGTTGAGCTGTTTCGATTGCGGATTGCCCCAATTTATAGTCGAAGAAAAAATCGTCCGAAGTGCTCTTTTCACATGCTTGAAAAAATCTTGAAAAAAGGGGGTTTATCAAGCAATGGTGAAACGGCAATTATATTACCATCAGCAGTCGCGCCAAGAAATTCTGCTACAGGATGTGATATGAGAAGCAAGGCAGAATGAGTTTTTAATCAGCAGTGAATGTACAAAAAAATAGGTGCACAAAAGGCTGAGAACTTTCCGGACAACCTAATAATATCGGAGGGAATTGCGGCGAGCCTGTTCTTGGGTGTGTGTGTGAGAAGAACGACGCAACACTTCTCTGTAGTATCCACAATCCCCATCCGTAGTTCTTTTACGTAGCTGAACGTACCTGAAGACGACCCAGATCCTTTGACAGTTCTCGCTGCCTACATAACACAGAGTAACCTCCGTCTAAGCAAAACGTTTTCAGAGGAACGATTCCCACTCACCATAACTCAAGCGTCTTTGAGGCATGCATTTAAGCAGTAAAAGGAAGTAAACTGTTAGTAGTGTGTAGAGTTAAATGGAACCAGTGAAGGGAAGATAGAAAGTAAGAAAATAAAAAAGGTAAGTAAGAATCAAGTGTGGGTGGTCCGTTTCGTCTCTTCCTTAGACGTAACTTTGTGTACGTTAATCTCCTGAGGGTCTTCAGTGAGTTGGAGCAGACGATAAATATGCATACATATTAAGAAATTCGAATATAGCTAGGGCCCAAGATAAAGAAGCAACCAAAACAAGAAGAAGTTAAACACTGTAAAGGCGAAGAGGTTAGTAACTAGACGAATAGGTATAGGAAAAGACATCTGAAGAACCTTATAATTCTCAGAGGATACAAAATCAGAGTAGAGCACATGAGGGTACTGTTGGCGATAAAGTGAAGTAGAAACCAAAAGTAATAATTAATATATAAACATGAATAAACCACGTATATAAACAAGTATTTATAAGAGTAGAAATTTATTTTATTAAAATTATTTGTACCTAATCAACAGGAGTCTGTGTATTCAAAAGATTACGCAGCCCGATCTGATTATTTACCCGCTGGTGTCAGAGATCCTTTGATGTTTTACTGTAGACCATTCATCACCTACAGCTTGGCTCAGGGCTAAGCATACATTCTTCCTCAACAGAGGGGAGTACATATTTTCAACATTTATATAAACCTTCAGCGTCTTGCAAAAACTGTTCAAACATTCCACTGCTAAATCATTACCCATTACTTCCAGCGACAATACAGCCGATGCTGTGTTGAACGTATCGGTCTTGCACCATCTATCAACGCCTGGTCGTCGGAAAGCTGCGCTCGAAGGTGAAGCTAGGCTTTTGTAAAATGCTTTCCCTAAACCACCTTATGAACAATACACTGTCAGAGAAATCGGAGTGTACGAAAGGTACAATTTGCAGAATGTGGTAGGTGCCTACGACCAGGTGGACGCATGTTAACTTATGTATGGGCATACGAACAGCCACATGGCACATTTCCATCCCAAGATCTGTTGGTGCCATGGAATCTCAGCGAAATACCCATCAATGGTTAGTCAGCCTGTAAAATTGTTACAAAAATGACCGTTTGAAATTCCATAAGCTTTTCTTTATCAGTATTACGATTTTCTACAATCTTTCATTAGCTCATCCTATACGGCTTGGCTTACACTTCCAATGCAGTTGATTGGATACAGATTCCACGATTACAGGTCGTGGGTTTTGGAGAGTATGAATAATAAAGGATGTAGTCTTCGCCGTTCAATCAATCCCTTTGTGTGCGGCACGCATTCTACTTCCATTCAGAATCGTGGCTTATTGAATGCGATGTGGCCTATACAATGACTTGCGGGGGCCAGCCGATGTACAAGTCAGTGTTCTTATCCTCCCAGACGAATCTGGTACCAATTTACCGTCCCCGGAGCATAGAATTCTTCGTTGGCGTGGTCGGGTGTTGGCCGGGGATTCGAACCAAGGACCGCGCGAGTGGTAAGTAAAGGTAACTTAGTTGAATCTTAGTTTGACTTACAATGCGAAAAAAAGGTCAAAATTCGAAGTGCTAACTAGGCACCAGTTTATACTATATATATATATATGAGCTTCAGCAGCTCACCAGGTCAACGCTATCGGGTACTCTAGCGCACGCCAGCGTACGCCAGCGTTCCCAACGTTCACCACCAGTTTGCTTATGCGTTGCAGCGGCAGGGGAATAGAAGACTAAGGGAGAGTCTGGAGTAGCAAAACACATCGATGCGCGTCTCTCACTCGCCCTTAGTCTCTACAATGCACATCGCTTCTGCGTCTCCGACGGCCGCATAGTCTCTACTATACACGGTCGAATTCCGCTTCTGACGGTTCACATAGTCCCTACATACCATCGATTCCGCGTCTCTGCTGACCACATATCCCTACAATACACTGGATCCGCGTCTCTCCACGCCACATCGTCTCTAGTCCCTTCGTCCGAAGCCTAAGCAAAACCTGGCTGTCCGCTGAGGAAACGCTCGAGAACGCTCGTGAAGCTAAGAACGATAGCTTGCTTCCCGTGCCCTCCCACGCCAGCTCGCGCATCCAGCGCACGCTACGCACACTTGCGGCCGCTAGCGTCGCTGGTGACGCGGCCAAGCTAGATGATACTATACTTGTCCCCGCACCTGCCAGCTGCGTAATCACATGGAAGCGGTCACGGCTACGCTCCCTGCAAAGATATAAACGGCCACGGCCCATAAAAAATCTGACAAGAATAGACGATCTGAAGACGCCAACGACAAAAACTGGGAAACGCGTCTTAGCTGTGTTTATATATAGGGCCACTCCCCAGATGGGGACACAACTTCTACGAGTGGCGCTCGTCACTCAAGCGCCTTGGCGGTATCAAGAATGACTTCTCATTGTATACGCTGGTACTATTAAGGAAATGCGTCTTAAACGACAACAGTTTGATGAGATGAATCTGACCAAGTCTTGGTTTGGAGGCCGTATTTAACGCGAAGATAAAGTCATCATTAGGAGCGATCCTTCGTGTAAATTCCAACAAGATTCAACAAAAACAACGATCATACAGTAGGCCATCGATTTCCCGATGCTTCATGTTCAGTAAATACTGATCCGCTCTCTTAAGGAGTCGATCCCAATTGGCCCGGTTCATGAAACGTGCCAAGTCCACTTTGTCTGAACGTGTTGGATCTTGTTAGTAAGGTATGTCAATTTAAGAAATGGGTGCTACGAGTTCGCATAGTACGAAGCTGGTGACGATAGAACAGTCATGGTTAATCCCATTCATTATTCCACATTGCTCCAGAACCTGCTCCACTCTATACAAACCTATGTTCATCTAGAATTGAAAATATTCACAGTATGCTGGCATTCACTGAAGAACTGCAGGACAAGTTCCGGTAACACCAGTGCCCAACGTCATGAAGAGACCGGCTTCGAATGTCCGCCGACCTGAGAATACTGAGTAAAGCTAAGAGAGACATCGAATCGCAACCAAATAAAAAACCAGTGGCCGTCGCGTGCAAAACGCCCCGGCCGCTTATGACGAGATTAGATGTAAAATTGGTCAGAAATAGAATAAGTCGATACATAGCACATAACATGTCTGCATAAAAAAGAGCGATGCTTATTTTGAAAGGATAGTGCGAACTGAGGAAAAATCGTCGCGCGATTGGCCTGCCTCGAGACAGCGCGGCAATTTGACGATTCTCGCTGCCCGCGCCTCACCCGAAAGAAGTTCAAATAGCAGGCTGAGATGGTGTCTTAGTGCCGTAGAGCTCAGATTCTCTTTGACTGCGCATATTTGGCATTTTGCTGAAATATGGCCCCTGTTGACGGTCTAAGCCTCCGCTGCCGCTTTAGAGGTATCAAGCTAGAAACGTAACTTATTAGCAACTCTGATGCTCAAAAATTTGAATAGTTATATCGAACCACTTAAAGGAAACTCCGACCGATTGAAGCAAAAAAGCTAGCGAAAAGCAAAGGCAGACACGAGCTGCAAAAGTTTGACGTCTAATAATCTAGCTGTGGAAGACTGTTCGTAGCTATTCTAAGTGAATCTAGCTGTGAAACCGTTCGTTATAAGACTATTTCAGTTCCAGTCCATACGTCCATTATTCACTTCTGCCAAGCCCAATGGCTACACTGCTCCTCCACCGCCGCCAGCAGCTCCGAAATTCCTTCCTAATGCAAAGCAATCGCTCATTACAGGCGTTAAGCGATGGAGTCCCATGTTAGGTACGTCTATATATACTGCAGTTGATATCACCGCAATCAGTCGGATCGCAATCAGCAGTTCCCACCTGCGGCCTTTCCACCACTAGTTACTTTCTTCCTGAATCGATCTCACCATAGGTAGAGGAAGGCAGTCGGAGGTGAGGTTATCCCACCCTGCTGACGCCGTCCCCGACTGAGTGCAATCGAAAACTTTATATATCGTACGTATACTACACGTCTGGATATCTCTTTGAATGGTCGTTCGAAAAATTACTTACTGAATGTTAAGGACGTCGTTTGGCCACATTGCTTATATCGGTCGAAGAGCAACTCGCTGATGAAGTCACGCAGAAGATCCTTCATGAGGCTCTCACAGAAACAATGGCAACACTGCGAGAAGTAGGAGCCCCTTACTTGATAGCATTGTGTCAATGCCGACGAAACACTCCTGTAATCTTCCAAAGCTGGTACCTGTAGTACCCCTTAGAAAGAACCTCTACCCATTCTAAGATATTTTATAATATCACAGATTATTGTGGTCGAACCTGTCGTATAGCAAAAAGGGTCCAAAGGTTAAAAAGCTCATCAGTCGCTGGCAATGACATGAAGAGTAAGCGTACAGCGTGTCTTGCTGGTTACTAAGGCTTTCTAAAGCGGCACACTGCAAAATCCATTTGTTTACTATCGCTCTTTTTCACCAGGGAGTGCGAGTTCGTGACCTACTTTGAAGAGCCTCTCAATTATTTCTGGCGACGCAGGTTGATACCGTTAATACTCTACATACTCTCAGTTTGGTTTTACAGGTGACATTCTACCGGTTCTACCATGTATTTCGGAAAGGAGAGCTGGAAAGTATTGTGTCGTCGATTCCTTCGCTGAACGTGGTTCATTCCTCATTCGAACATGGTAACTGGTGTGTGGTTGTGGAAAAGGTGGCCACCTAACGAAGTGAAAGAATAAACACAA